AAGCATGAACGATACGCCATTTACCATTCGGTTTCTTAACACAGAATGTGGGTGTCGAGTGCGGAGATTTACTCTCACGCACCATGCCCGCCGCGTGCTTTGCACGAAAGAACTCGTCAATGACGTCACACTGTTCTTTAGGTAAAGGACACTTCCGTGTTACGCAGTATTTGGTTTCAGGAACCAAGTCAATCTCATGACGTACACCTCTATCAGGAGGTAGAACCGACGGTGGATCGTGACACACCACGTCCTGGAATTCCTTAACTAAAAGGATAGTAGGGATCTGAAGGGTCCTTCAGAATAGATGCCCCACTACGTGCACTTAGTACCGCCTTTGTATCTTTGAGGACTATCTCATTGACAAGCGAGGATGAGTTCAGCTCGAGGTTAGGTCGAATGACCACCATATCGGATAAAGCACCAGCCTTCAAGGCTTGATGAAATTCATCCACAGACATTTCGTCTAGCTCTAAAAGAGCATTTAATGATGGGAGGGCCTCAAGGTCAACCTCACCATCTACATCACCTGTCACTCCGTTGACCAGGGTGTACAACTGGTCACTGACATTACTATGCGATAAAACAGACGCTTTGCGTCTCGCAGCTGCCATCTGGCGACGCTGCCGTCTCATTGACGAGACCGTACTTTGTAAAGTACTTGGGATACCATCATCCCCAAGGCAACAGATCCCTTGACATAAACCTGCCCTATGCGAGGGCCGATGTCAATATCGATATCCAGTGGGTCACTAGTACCAGTGACTTCACTAACAAGGTCATCGACCTTCACTTGCTCTATACGAGAGCCGATGTCATTACCGACATTCAGTGAGTCACTAGTACCAGTGGCTTCACTAACAAGGTCATCGACCTTCGCTTGCTCTATACGAGAGCCGATGTCATTAACGGCATCCAGTGAGTCACTAGTACCAGTGACCTCACTAACAAGGCCATCGACCTTAACTTGCTCTATACGAGAGCCGATATCATTACCGACATCCAGTGAATCGCATATACAGCCAATATCACTAACAAGGTCATCGACCTTAACTTGCTCTATACAAGAGACGATGTAATCACCGACATCTAGTGTCTCAATATTACTATGAGTTTCACTCAACGGAGTACGTGCCGTCCCACTAGGTGTCACTGAGCTCTGCTCGACACTATTATTGTTGACATTGGAGTTTATCAACTCTGACACTCCAATGTCACACTAACTGACTCAGTTAATGGCTCGCCAATAGCACTTTTGTTTCCTAGCGAAGGTGGTTCATGACTTCCAAAGCTTCGCTAGGAACATTGCCGTTGGCCTAAAGTTTGGATCTCCAATCGATCCACGGCTCATGGCGTTCCAGCCAGGCCATACCAAGAATGAGATCATATCTCGAGTCCAAATCTAGGACAAGACAGCGTTCAACGCTATTGAAGTCTAAGAACGTCACACCTAAGTTCAACGGACCTTTAGGAACGGTGACACGTACACCGGTCGCGAGACGCACGGTTATACTGTCATCCTCTTGCGCTTCTAGCGCCTCAGCATACAGCTGACTCCCTTCAAGGAAACGACGTCGGACATAATTACCTGACGCCCCTGAGTCAATTAAAATTGACCATGGTTTCTCAAAACCCTTAACGGTTGCCGACACAACCAACAAGCCTGGCTTGTAATCTTGTTCTATGGGAGCATCCACAGAACCACCTGGGGCTAAGCCCTGTTCACCTTTACCTCCTAAAGATCCAACAGAACTTAGTTCTTTCCCAGTAGGGCGCCCCGCGCCTACTGGAGTTGACGTTTTCCCCTGCGGTGCTCGCCTTTTGGCTAGGAGCAGGGTTTCGGCTCTGTGTTTGAAGTTTAACAAAGGGAGATGCCTAGTGCTTCCGCACATGTAACATCTACGGATGTTACTTTGATGCTCAGCAGTTGAAGCTCAGCTTCTTCAGCATGGCTGAGGTCCATGGGTTTCGCCCTGTTAGAGGTATTTGATTGATACCTGGGCAGACCATATCGAGCAGATTTAAAATTAAATTCAGCGTTTAACGCTATGCTTACTGCCTCTTCGAAAGTCGAAGGCTGGACACGGAAAACTTCCGTCCTGGCGACTCCAGTGCGAAGTCCTTCCATAAAAATGGTTACTCTGACTTCCTCTGCCAGAGGGTCCTGCTGCATAGCAGCAATGAGAGTTCTCAACTCTTGGACATAGTCCGACAATTCTTTCTTACCCTGTCGGGTAGCTAAGAAGCGTGAGCGCACACGATAAGCCTGATTAGGCGGTGCAAACACACAAGTAAATTGCTTTTTAAGCAGTTCCCATGTGGGAAATGCAGCATTTACAGAGACATCGCTCGTTAGAGCCCATTCTCTAGCTCTTCCACCGAGCTTCGAAATGGCCAAGCCAACTCGTTGCTTATCTGACACAAGCATGGCGGCATCCATTGCCATTTCAACTTGTCGGATCCAGAGGAGAAGATTTTCTCCCTCCTTCCCCTCAAAGCTCTTTACGTTTAAAACAAGTAAGCGAGTCTTTGGCTCTGCATCGAGCACAGGTACTGGGATATAATTGCGCAGGCGCAGCTGACGCTGCCTGGTCATGGACCTTCCCGAGTAGCGTTGCTTCATAACGCATAAAGGCCTCAAGGCGAGCATTTAAAACCTCCGGGCCTTGGGCCAAAAGGGCCTCGATTTGATCGGGCCCAACGAACGCAGATAATTTGTCTAGCACGAGTCGTTGCGCCTCAGAGAGGTGATTTTGATTGTCCATCCTCACAGAGGGTCAGTCTTTAAAAGACTCAGGTGTAGGATTAACTACTAGTGCTACAAGTGTAGCGGAGCTGCACTGCTCTTTAGCCAGAGGAAGACTTTAAACTGGAAGCCTCTTAATTCTAGAGAGTTAAATAGAGTTAAGGCTCAAAGCCACTTTGTTCTAAGGAACTAATTAAACGACTTAAAGTCACCCTGTTCTAAGGAGCTAGGAAAGAGACTTTTAGTCAGTCAAGCAATAAGCTTAAGGTTCAGAGAACCAACGCACAGAGTGCAAGGAAAAGCTAGAAGCTTAAAGGTTCAGAGAACCAACGCACGAAGTGCACAAGAGAACAAGTCAGAGTGACTTGCGATCTTAAACTCAAAATGAGAACTGATTTTATTTATGCATTAAGATTTTATGAATAGTCCTACTCTAAGTACCCTACACTAGATTAATTACTATAATAGTAATTATAATATGCAGACTTTGCTATTGGACGACGTATCGTCTAAACATCTGTGTATGATGTACTTAGTACAGCGTTATCGATCTATCGAATCCTAATCGATAAGATACGGTATTACCGAATACCGTTTCTTTAACGCTTAGACTTAATACCTCTCTAAAGAGAAGTATAATAATGCATTATATGCAATACAAAGGGGAGTTCAACCGTAAAGTGTCGGAAAGACCCTACAACCGTCGTGTAACCCCGTTACAGGCAGTACTCAGTCGATGAAACCGACTCCATTGAGTAAGAGACGAAGCTACGCTTATATCATATCTTTTTTTAAATATGTGCGATGTCTAAAGACTATCCAGAGCTCAACAGTATCTATATTGAACAAAGACCTTCTAGCAGTCTCGCGTGCCACCAATGAAGCCAAATATGACGACGCAAAAATGTGGAAGCGACACTTTCCCTACTACCCTAGCTACTGTATATCGGCCATTTTCTACCTGCTACTATATGTCTAATCAAATTCGTGCTTCAATCGAAGCGATTGCTCCACTCGTTGCTTCCGATTTCAAACCTCTCTTTCAAGATACATCGGTGTTAAATTGTCCAAATTATTAGAAGAACACGTGCTTGTGCAAAGGAAAGGTTACTCTAATAGGTATAAGATGTGCAATTGCAGTGCGCATCTACCGCGAGAGTTTTGGAGCATTGCAACTAGCGGCGTTGACCATTTATTTCAGTGACACACTGACAGACGATGGAGCTGAGATCCGTTTTCTACTAATGGCCATTGGGACTGAGTCCAGCACAGTTGCATCATGCAAACGTTCAGAATTCGGACAGCAAAAATCTGGCACTGGTTTGGCTTCGAGGCAGAGAGGCGCAAATTCAAACGATGCGCTTTCGTACGTGGCGACGAGTTAATATAGTCATTTCGAATTGTCTCGTAATGCAGCGACAGCACGATGGCAGCAGGTAGTAGAAGGACCGACTTGAAACGAGTCCTAGGTGAGATATTAATTTGGCGTGAAACCGTGTGTGGCCTGTCTTCCGTTGAGCATTATTGCAATGAGCTTTTTGCAGCTTTCAACATGAAGAAGCAGAGTAGACGGAATGTTGAGACGTTAACCCGCTTCTACATCCCACATCTTTGTTCACTCAATAGCTCGTCGTGCTTTTATAAGATTAACCATTGAACTACCATGAACGGTACTTTGTCTAAAGTTTTTCTTACTGCTGCTAGCTAGACCGTGTCGCAAGAAGTTCTCTTCTGTCGACCTGACAAACTCTTTTTGCGGTTGTTCTTGAAGCTGTACGTTGGATGGACAATGTCGCACTATATGTTGCTACAGCCAATAGGTACAACTACAAAACTATGTGCAGTCTATTCATTAACGTCGTCAACTTTTAATAGTATGTAGAAGTAGCATGTAGCCAAATATGTCTCAGACCTATGAACAAACTAAGTGCGCAGCTTAAAGTCGTACTTAAAGAACACAACGTCCCCCCCCCCTACCCCCTCCACGTTAAATCGTCGTTCCCTTTCTTCTCATTGGTTAAAATTCCCCTCTTCCGCACTCATGTCTCCCTTCTCTCCCGTCCCCCTCGTCGTTGACGATGGGCTTGTCTTTCTACCACAGGCGTCTTTTTCACTGGAATTATTATGTGTTGCTTCCTATTTAACACTTGCTCTTGTGTCTGCATGTCGTACCTTATCATTTCTATCGCCTTTGCCTCGTCCACGTTCCAGCTTTCAACGCAGTACATTTCAACGCTTGATGATTTTCTTTGCTATGACGCGTGCTGCGTCATTTCTGAGTCTTGGAGTCATGCGGAATTTATTAAATCGAGCAGCTCTATGTCTCTTTTTTTCCCTGGTCTTATTTCAAACTTTATTATGGCTGGATATTGCAAACCCGAAAATCTCACGACGATCGAAACGCATTTGGATCACTTTTATCGTGGCCAATGGACTTTTTTACGTGACGGTCTTGGGACTTTCGGTACTTCATGAAGCAAAAGTTATGGAAGCACATGAGACGCAGACAAAATTAAAGCAATCGACACTTTGGACGGGGGTCATGCCGGTGCTTTTGATAGCTACGGGAAGTTTTGGAAGTTCCTTGGGTCTAGTCTACTCGACATGGAAAATGAGACTTCGGGTTGAACGTGTACTTAAGCCATCGGGTGACGGATTACGACGTCGACTGGATGAACGGGTGGAAAAAAATTAACACGTGCACTTCGGTTTACTGTACTTGTCATGAGTGCGTGTTCTGTGCTTTTTTTGCTACGGACACTTATTTACATTCAACGACCATTTTCTCATCAAGGATGTGGAGATATTCATAATGCAGACGTATGTGTTTTACTGGGTTATGCTATTCCGGAAATTGTGCCCTGTGCACTCTTTTTGGTGCTCATGTGGGAAGTGGAACCTACACTTGAGATTCCATCGAGAAGAAGCTTGAGTTTTAACAATGGGAGAGTCACGTCTGAGACAACACCGCTGCTGGAACAGGATGTGATGCCGCGACCATTGTTGATTGCGACCAAGAACCGAGTCAATCAAGTTGGCGGTGCGACGACAACTCAAGGTGGAATTCTTCCAACTTCGCCAGTGGGTGGGTATTTCATGATCGGGCGACGTCCCAGTTCACTGTCGCTGGGTCTTGGAAACGGCGTACTCGATCGTGCAAGACGACAATTGGAGTTGGTCGTGCGCCAGCATTTGGGTGGAGGAAACAAAGAACAGCAACCAGGTGACAAGAATGAATTTGCAAGCAACGCGTTTGGTTCACCCGGCGAGTACGAGAGACAAACAAAACAGCTAATTATCTACGATGATGACTCGAGACGACTGGTTTCGCCTCCTACCTGCGCGTGGTTGTCCTTTCAGTGCTTCAATTTGACGCTGCCATCAAAGTCGTCGGTAAGGGCCTCATCGTTTGTAGTGTTACATTTGATGGATGCCGAAACAGGCGCAATGGTAGCTGAAATTGGCCGAACCGAAATTTCGCATTCAGAAGACCCGTGTTTTCATATAATGCTGGCCGTGGAAATGCGCCAGCAGGATCTACTTCGCGCCTCGGTCTACTCGGTTCGTAATCCGAACTCGCTAAAAGATTTGAATAATCAGTGGCTTGTTGGTAACCCGCTAGTGCCGGTATCATTATTTATGACTGATGCAGTACCCGCTATTGGATGTGCATCCATTTTCCCGTTATACTCTCCCCTCTCTCGGACGCGATCTTCGGGTGAACTCGTTGTCCGCTGCGAAGCAGAGGTGAAAGGGTTACACACAGGGATGTCTGACGGTGGGCTTGAACGCATCACTCGGTCATTTATGTATATTGGGGTCGAGGGCACCGACACTGAGCATGCCTCGCCTCGCGATGACTCGGCGTACTCCGAGGTGGCTCAGGAGATGTACAATCTTGCATCCACTTCTCGACGCGGTCAAGGCAAAATGCTGGTTGAAGAAGAGCTCATTGAGAGTGTGTATACGTGGGAGGTACCCTATCAACTTCTTCAGTTGATACTATCGGATTTGCTGTTAAAACTTGATTTATTGAAGCGCGAGATTGCGCTTGAAGACGGTGATGACAGCTGTTCATCAACTCCGTCAAGCCAGCTTTCGACTCCTGGTGTTGGCAACTATGCACTGCCGATAGTGATCTCTTCATCTCCAAGGGCACTTAGTGTAGTGCAAGAAACCGAAACCGAACACACGACAGAGTTATGGGAGTCTTTCCGATCGGCCGCGTCCGGAATGAGCTCCCCATTTACACTAGAAAATCGATTTAGACCAGCCACCAGCATCGGAATGCTTTCTGAGATGATCATTCAAATCCAAGATGATGTCATTGAACGGAAAAAGCGCAAGTGGCGTCTGGAGCTTATTAAGACTGTAGAGCAATACATCTCGGAGGTTGAGGACTCAATATTGCGCTACGGGGCCACACAACACGCCGGGCTTACTTTCAAGCCAAGCACGATGAAAGCAGACGCAGATCTACGCTTTCTGGCGTTAAATCTTCATCAGCAATTGATGACGGTAGGCAATGCAGCCCCGACATCCGAAATGGACGTTCAATTTGGTGATCAAGCTAGCGCAGCCCGCTATGCTCGTCTTGTGAACACGTTTATTGGGACGCTTATGTTATCGTCACCTTTGCACTTGTCTAGACAGTCGAGCATGCAAGGACCGCAGAGTGACCTCGATTCTGTGCAATTCATAGACGACAATGCAAGTGACATAAAAGATGCCCCATCCTCCTCGCCGGAAGAACCACCACTTGAACCTGTTGATGCGCTACGTCGTCGTGTGATTTCGTTTGATTCTGCGGAGACTATTGTCAACAAGGGAGCTTCGGATCAGTGTGTTGCAGTTCCTTCTGAACAGCGGAAGCTGGCTGAAACTATTGTAGCGATGGGAATCACCGAAGAGGAAATCCAAAGCATTTACGAGTTAGACGAAAATGTTGGTGTATCAGATGCAATGGATATTGTAGCCGCTATAATGTCAGGCTGCTCAGATGATGAAATGAAGCATGCAGTGCCAAGCAGTGGATGTTTCTCGTCATCGCAGGATTCAACGTCTGGTAAGGAGATGCAGAAAGCGTCTATGAATATTGATACGAGTGCTAGTGGGCATGATCCGTTTGATAAGCACCGAATGTACGGCACCACGACGGTAGGAGCCTTTGCAGCGCATGTCTACGGGTTTAAGAGCGGTGGTGTGCGTCAGATGCGTGAAGAGTTAGAAAGACTTCATACGCGTTTGGTGAAAGCAGCGGAGGCGAGTTCCGATCTCACAATGGATGCGTTGGAGCGCAAGTACAACGAGCTAAAATGGGATGTCGAGCGCCGACTTGAGGTGGCGTTCTGTCAGGCAATGAGCGCGCTAGTCACGTGCTTCCAGCAAACACTTTACGTGCATACGCACGACAATCGGGATTTTGGTCCCTATCCACTAAAGGCCTGCGGCGTTGACTATCTCGAAATGCTTACGAGGGTTGGTTTCTTGTTCTCTGTGGAAAGCTTGCTGTCAACATACGGCAATGAATTAGGAATGCTAGGTGATACGGAAGCAGCCGTTAAGGAGCTCGGACGGGTGTGCATAAAGTTGCGACCTGTCAAGTCTCCTCGTGCTGCGGCTTTCCGCGTTTCTATCACCTCAGGGCCATCAGGCATCGTGATCGAGCTTCCAATTATCACACGTCGTGCGAGTGAGTTTCCCGATGGAAGTATGCACCGAGTTCCAGGACAGGACGCAGTATCTGGGGCCATTTATCTGTCACTATCGACTCCAGAGCAGAGAATTCGCGCGAAATTTTTATTTCAGAAGCCCATTCGAGTGGTGCCTGTAATTTTTTCGCAGGGACTGAATGAAATGCAGACAGTTGCAAACACTGTCGGCATTGACTCGCTACAGAAAGAGATCAATGCGGAGAATGTGGTCGAGTTGGAGGCATACGTTAATAACTTTGCTAATTGGGTCTCTAAGAAACAGCTCCGCGATAAAACGTCAACTCCCATCTATGACATTAAAGAACTCGATCTGATCCAGACATCGTTAGCAGCGCTAAAGTCCAACATCCAACTTTCTGGGCGGTCCAAGCGCATGGCGATTTTGAGTTTGTCGTCATCCATTGCTCGTTCCGTGGGGGGCGGCCGTGTGACGATGTGCAAATCGGCCAAAGATCGGACGTCCATGTCGATAACGCTCGAGGAAGCGAACCTGCTGGTACGCTCACATGGTCTTCTCGCTGACGATGTTGAAGCATTCACGAATTTGCTTCGTACTTATGGTGTTCGTCGTGAGAATGCGCGTAAGAATATCGGCAAAGCGCAGTATTGCTTCAGTGCGCTACAGAACTATATGCTGCCGCAAGACTATCAGTGTCCGCCAGGCACAGGAGGCGGCAGTCGGGCGTATTCGTAGAACGGCGCGTTGATGGCATTGCATTGATATCAAGTCTTGACAAGAGTAATTTGTGTATCAATATTTCCGTTTCACTAGACCAGACTACGAACAAGTACGTGGAAGACGCTGACATCGAGTGCTCAGTGGCCCAATGCCAGAATATCCTGCATCGACATTGTGCGAGTGCGAGTGTGCGGCTGTCGTGGCTGCTGGGTGCTGCTCTCGTAAATGGTCCGCATTGATGGCATGTCACTTTGGAAGCTTGTGAGGATGAATGCATCGACGAGTAAGTTTAAGGACGGCATAGGAGACGGCGCCGGTCTGGAAAGAGTGTCGGCTTGCGCAGGGTTTCTTGGCGCTCTCCAGGGATTGTTCTTCAGACAAGAACTCGCAGTCGAGAAGGTGACGCCTGCCTCCTTGCTTGGGCTGACACGATGAAGGTCGCCGTGTGTCGTTGCTGATGGTGTCAGCAATGATGCTGCTAGCGAGAACGGAGGGGGAAAGGGTGTCGTAGCCTGCGGAGTCATCGATGCATTGGTCATGAAACCACTCTCATCTGACTCGGACATGCGTTCATCATCGTCAGAAACATTGGTGGTGGTGTTGGAAAGTGTTGGGGAGGAGCACCAGGAGTTCGAACGCCCAACGGATTCTTTGGATGGTGCCGTTGCCCACAGTGACGGGAGAACTGACGGGGAGGTTTTCACTTGTAGCAAACGTTTGGCGCTGGCGCCACGAAGGCTGGGAGCATTGGAGTGAAGTACAGCCGTGGGCAACGACTCACCTTCCTTTTCGAGCTTGCGTCTCAGGTTCTCCAGAGCTTCTAGACGGATCCGCTCGACATTCTTCTCGCTTCGGAAGCCTAGGTATGGCCAGCGTCGGATACCTAATGAACGACACACACGAATGAGCGTGCGGCTACTGATGCCGAGATCGTCAGCGGCTTTCTTGGCGGTGCACGTGAATAGATCGGCAAGAATGTCAAAGGACAGGGTCTTGATGCCATGTCTTGTGTGGACACGGACGATATATGAGGCGTGTGATGCTGCCAGAGAGCTGTTATGACGAGACATGTCTGGTAAGGATGAGGACGTCATTAATGGTGCAGCGATGATGTGCACGGAAGGAATGGGCTTATAACGATGTAATGAATACCGGTGTTGGCGGATGTTACTTGTGGTCGAGTGGACAATGTGCACGCGTTGACCAGAAGCTGGGGTACTAGAGAGCGTTGGTTGTGGTCTGCCACAGCAAATTCAATGATGACAGGTAACGTGGGACTTTGGCCGGATCTTGTGGGATAAGAACGATGGCGACGTGCAAGGAAAGACCGGCGGAAAAAAACCTACGCTGAAGAGATCGACGTGGTCGGCGTGGTCGGCGTGGTCGGCGTGGCGGAACCGCTGGAACTCTACGCCAGTGTTCCGCCCTTTTGCGTCTTTCTAACGTGCTGCCAAGTTGTCGTACGAACTGTGCCGAAAAAAAGACGCACGCGGCGGTTTTGTCACCATCTCGGATCTTCGACGAAACACGCGCAGCGGCCAAGTCATTACACGGAAAATGGCCGGTTGAGCGCTCGTTAAACTAAAGTGATCAAGTTTGCGTTGAGTAAGGGGTTTGGGAGCAGAACTCCGCTTAATATACTCGCGACGCGATGGAGGTACTCTGATGTGGTTTTTACAGCTACTGTTGTCTGATGCAGTTATTGTCGTACTACGAGGACACTCAAAGACGAGAATTGGGTTCGGATAACCGGAAAGGCCTGTCCTTTCCTCTGAGATCCAGTGTTTGATTGTCGCGCGTGGTGAAGTTCCGACTTGTACAGGAAGACACCGTCGTACACTTTGATAGAACTCTGACGTTCTGTTATTAACGTTGCTTCGCTATGTTGATGGTTGACCATCGTGCATTTTCAATGAACCCTCTCAAGCTTTTGCAACAGTACGAAGCAAGTCTTTTTATTATTACTACTAGTCGGACAAGTGAAACGGAAATTCCAGAGACCGTCGAGAGCCTTGAGATGGGGTCAGTTCGACGAGACCACTGTCAAGCGTTAATCCTGACAGCTATATACATTCAACGCAGTTCATTTCTCCGCCAAAGGTGGGAAATTGAAAGGATCGTCAAGAGTTTGCTTTATCAAATAGATAGACGTGCTTTGCATTGGATTTGTCTCGAAGAAGAGAAAGTGATCTGCAACGTTGAGCGAGAAACTACTAACGGTTGAATCTTGTCCGTCTTTGGCAACTTGCACTGGGCAACGGCAAATGCAACTGCTGTCGTGATCTTTTAAAGAACAAAAACACCACCGACTCCATGACAGCCCCACTCGTACTGCACGTTATTGCCTCTACGCCAACGTCAAGTACTTTCTACTACCCCTACTAATGTACGACATGACAAACATGACGTGACAGGCGCATGATTCGATGGTCAAACGCACTTGACTACTCCATACGTTTGGAAATTAGTGCATTGCATTGTCGTCCCCACACTTTATTTCTCGAGCTCGTTTTCCTCTGCTGCAAGTCGTCTCTAGTTGTACAGTCGATGTTTACTAGGGATAATTAATGACACGTCATGACCCTGCGGTGCTGCATACATCAGTTCAGCCATGAGTAACTAATTACGCCCAATACAAAACGGACGAGATGATCAATTTTATCTCGTCCGCCATTATTAATTGCCGCTCGACTGGAACGTTTACTACCCTTCATATGGGGCCAAAATCTCCTGTTTCACTAAAGATCCTTCCGTTTTTACCGAACAGCACCGACTTTCGTGCTTGTATCGTTTTTCGAGTCGTTGTTGTGACTGTATTGAACGACCGACCCAAAAAAATAACGCAAGGGTGGGGGGGGAGCAACAAATGAGACGATACAGCAAACGAAATTGACCTGTCCCCGTCGCAGACTTCGTTGCATCGAAGTCGAACGAACGTGTTGGGCCAGAACAATACCCTGTCGATAGAGCGGATCTAATCAACGGATCACAGAAAAGATTTTGGACTAAAAACAGTCACTAGCTCTTAAACTGGACTCGACCGGTTTCCAAATCTTCCCCTACTGTACCTCTTCTTTTTCTTACATGTCATGCTATTATCTTTTTTCCCGCTACAAAGTCCCCAGTCCCAACCCTTCAACGCTACTTGTTGAAATCCCCATGATCTCTGCAGTAGTCGTTTCGTTGTGCACCCGACGACTGTCAGTGGTAGATGACGCAATGTTCTGTTTTTTGATCTTGACCGACTTGGAAAGACCCACCACATTCTGTAAAAAACCTCATTATTGACCTTCCATATTTAATATAACAGATGATGTCTTAGAGTATCTACCACGTACAGAGGTCACACCCATTTTCTTGCAGAGCGCCTCGGCCTCCGCCCATTTGAGTACACCGTGTTCAAGACACCATTTCTGGGCCATGTGGCTGTCTGCCCGTTGCTGCAATAGACTCTCGTAAAACACGCGATCAGCAAAACCCTGTTCGTGCGTGAAAAAACTTGTGAGATTTAATAAAAACGATTTAATCCCCTAAAACCTTGCAGCCAAGAGACGAGGTTGACATGTAGAAACAAACGTACAGGTGACGGTGTCGGGTGCTTCTGGCCGGGCTTGCGGTTAGCCTCCTGCTCCTTGGACCAGTCTTCCTCCTCGATCATTTTAATACAAAATGCGCAAAAAGAATGAAAAAACAGTGTCACTCTCGTGAGGGGATAGTGATGATAGGTCTGCGACGTGTGCAACTTCAATCTCAAAGGTTGATGAAATCTGTCTTCATCTTACAGCGCGTACTTGGTGTAAGTATGACGACACACCTTGACTAAGTTGATCGTACGACCTTGTGGCCCCGCGTTTCTCTTCACCGCCACCTTGTAACGCCTTTAATGCAGTTCATACTTATCGAAGGCATTACGCCACAGCGAACGGCGATGGTAAAGATGAGGCTACCATACAGTAGTAATACGTATGCACAATATTTTCTCTAAATTTGGTTTCTCTAAATTTAGTTAGAAATTCCATAATCCTCTATTTATTCTCAATTTTTTTTATAAAGTTAATTAAGGCTTACAGTTTTGTATAATTAACTGAACTACAGTATGGTTTAATACTTATTTTTCCAGCTCTTTGGGCCACGTACTAATCTTGTACTGATTTAAAAGCTAGCTACGTACTCAAATTATGGGTATATAAAATTGTGTTTTAGATATGTATACACCGTCTACATACATACCAACAGCTCTTTGACAATCGATGGCAGCGCTGTCACGACTGCTTGTCTTTTGTGACTACCTTGAGAATCGTCTACACACGTCGAGTCTATCGTTACTACGTCGTATACTACTCGACTTTTATGCCGGCAATGAACACACATTGGTGGACTTTATGCGTCTGGGCGCAAGTGTCGTGTCTGTGATGCCCATAGAGAAGACAGGTTCTCACCATCGGAAAGAGGCGACACAATTGTTAATACAGCAGATAATAGGAGATCACAACGTTCGGAAAGAAGACGTACCGTCGAATCAGGTGAATATTCATCAATCGACTCAGAATCAGATGGACACGATAGGATCCCAGCAATTGGAAGCGTGTGTTTTCCGTTTCTTGTCGGCTCGTGTAGCAACCAAAAACATTTTGTGGCTGCGTGATATGTATTACGAATTTTGCAAAGGTGAGGATGCAATGCTGCATGAGTTTGTGATGCGTGGCAACGAGCCCATTTGTGTCATCCCCGTGGATATCCAAGCTTTGGGTATGGCTCCACTGCCGCCATCACCGCTAACAGTGGGTACTATAAGGAAGATGAAGACGGACACCTCAGCTTCGACGTCGTCACGGGCAACAACACCATCACAAACATTATCCCCCCAGAGAAAGAGGAGGAGGGAAAAAAAGAGAGCAGCAAGGTACAAGTGGAGGGATGGACATGACTGGGAATGCTTCTGACAGTCACAAGAGAAAGAAGAGTCGCAGAACTTTAGTGGCTGCACAGAGAAAAATTGATATTGCTGCTACAATAAAGGCGACACCGGAATCTTTGGCGTCTCCTTCAGCAGATGAGGTACGACAGAGCATTGTGACTGCGGTGAAGCGGATAGAGGAGAAAGAGCCGTGGAAGTGCACGTTCAAGATCGAAACTCTAGTGATGCCATTTTCACGAATCAGACATCCAAAGTTGGCGGAGGCGCTGCAAACATTTTGGGAGACTCATGCTCGAGCGGTTTGGGAGCGTAAGTTTTGGTCACCTCTCCCTTGTCCCCGCACGCACCAACTTCATAATGAACGACGATGTCGTCAGAGCAAAGCGCTAGTCTTTTTCGAAAAGCGTGTGCTGATTCCTGTGGATAAAGATCTCGGAGCATCTTTCTTCGTCGATATGGATCGGCGTAGAACACCTTACAGTGGATGGTTCTACCTTGACGAAGCTGTGGACTTGTTCACGCTGGCACAGCGCTACAGTTTGTCCGTTTGCCTACAGTATATAGAGCTGGAGGCATGGAAGCGGTTTCCCATTGCCCCCGGTGTAGGCCGGAGATTTTCTTCGGAAAGCATGTGGTCGTCGTCCACACAACTAAGACCAGTACTGAGCCAGATCATGGCTGCCAAGGCCAAGACGGATGTCAAACAGCCTTCATAACAAAGAATACGTCTAGCACGAAAGGTTGTAAGCGATTGCCACAAACGCCTTATATTGTACAAGCATTTCATCGCAAGCTTTAAGCGAATCACCCCCGATTTATCAAATCTGTTTGGTCAGAATCATTAGCACCTTAGGGTGATAGCGCCTCTTAGATTTTAGACATCCTGTACTCAAAAGTTCTTCGTCTTCAAGATCGATCCACGAAAGTATTTACGATTGACTTAATTGTCAATCAGTACATGCATGATACGCGTACATGAACGTTGTCAATTCCTTTGTCGAAGCACATAATCAGGAAGGTGATTTACTTTTTTCTTTTGCCACTTCCTAACGGCACGCATTCATATCGTCAAGATAGGAACCGTTTGGGAATAGTCTTGTTCACAACTTAACGTTCTCCAGGAATCAACACTCTATGTTACGTCTTTACTACTCCTACACAATTCGCGGCATGTCAGTTTGCTATATCTACGCATTGATAAGGGGTTTGCTAGCACATATATTTTTAATTTATATATGTTTTGTTGCTGGGGTCCTTCGAAGCAGAGAGTGATTACAACCTTCAGTATGCACCAGAAAAAGCCGATTATGGTGACAAGACATTTCCATTTGAAACACAAAACTCACCTTGATTGCAAAAACGTAAATGTTCTTTAGAGTCAATAGAGTTTTTTTCTTAGCTTATGTTGACTACGTCCTTTGAATCCTTCCATCATTTCCTGAGAAAGTAGTCACAAAAGGCAATACCGTTGCATAACTTTGGTAAGATCAGGCTTTCAAACGCTAGTCTGTTGTCGTAGGAGCAGGTTCAAATTGATTCCGGCAAAAGCCTCGTTCAATGCCACTCATCCGGTAGCTTGTTCAGGTCTATTATCGGCCGTTCCGCCACTGGTGCTGGGTCTGGGGCTGGTGCTGGGCCAGATGCTAATGCTGGTGCTGGGTCTGGGTCTGGTACTAGGTCTGATGCTGGTTTTGATGTTGATGCTGATCCTGGTGGACGCTTAGAATTCTGCCGTTTCGCCGGTGGATGCTCTTCCAAGTCAGAATTCTTTCGTTTTTTTCTCCTCAACAGAAGCTTTCCGTCCTGTTGTCTTTTTTTCAAGGCTATTTGCAGTTCTTCAGCGATAGGTTTCACTCTCTCGATCTGTGTTCCCTCAATTAAAACTTTGTCCAGATTATCGTCGGAAACACGTTGAAGAATGGGGAGAATCGTTTCTAGATTATCCTTGTAATCAAGTCCAATGACGGAAAACGTCGTCTCAAATGCTTCCATTTTATTCGAGAATTTTGACCAGACGAAGTCGACCCACGCGGCAAAGGCCGGCCTTCTGAAAAGATTGCTGTCTGTCTGTTGGAGATCTAAAATATCAAAAACCTCCTTCGCGCCTTTGTTTTCCCACTGCTTGAACTAGTAGTTTAGTATCTTTCGAATAGCTGATACCTTAAAAGCTTTTTTTAATGTTGCACGATCTTCCTCCTCTAGAGCACCCACTAGAGCATTCTTACTCTTGTAAAAAGATGATAGTTTGTCGAGAATCATCTTATCCGGTTCATCATCAGGGTATCGCTGCCAGATAAAGTTGGCCCACTTGTGAAAGATCGGGCTTTTTAGAGGTTTACCATCCGTCTTGTCGAGTTGCAACAGCTTGAACACATCTTCCTCATTTCGCTTGTCACTTTTCCACTTATCCACCTGGAGGTCTAGCAACTTTCTAGCGCGGTTTTTCGATTTACCAAAACCCGTTTTTGTTCCCTCAACCAGAACTTTAGCTAGTTCATCGCCCTTAAACTGTTTGGCCAAGACTTTATACGTCTTGCGTTTTGGAGTCGTGTATATTTCACTTACAAACTTAATCCACTTAAGAAACACTGGGCTTTCGAAAGGATTGCTTTTCGGCTGGTCAAGCTCCAAAAGCTTATACACCTCTTCCTCATTTCGCCCGTCGCTTACCCACTTATGGACCTGGAGGTCTAGCAGTTCGAGAGCAATGTCCCTCGTTGTGTCAATCTTTGTACCCGCAACGAGAAAACAGCTGAGAGCATCACCCTGAAAATGACCTGCTAATGTTTTGAACATCACCTCATTTACAGCTTCTTTCTGGAGCTTTGGGTCTTGTGACTTAACAGACTTTTTCCAGTCACGAAGAAAATTCTCGCCGTTTTGGGTTACACGAGCAAATTCCTCACTCATGGTTTCAATCGTAGCAGACGGCTGCGTGGGTGCGTGGAAATTCTTTAGTATAGTTACGATATCCGCCGGTGGACCACCTCTCTCCTCGGAGCTGTAGTAATTCGAATCCATGCTCACGCTGGAGCCCGAGATGAGAGTGTTCGTCACATTCCATGTAGTGGACTTGTGTGCACTGCGGATGGCATGCACAGGCATCACGGATGCCGCGCATGCAGCTGACCATACGATCAGCGCGGTAATAATCAGCATCGTCGTGGGTTGGCGCTTGATGTACGTTACAGGCAAAATGTAAAGTGGGGAGGCTGTTTGTGACCTTGACTGGCTGTCGGACACTTGCATGTTGGAAGGGCAGACACTCAATACCGTCAAACTCGCCTGGCTCTTGAAGAGTAACCTTTCTAGCTGTATCGCGGAAGTATCCCAAAGGGCCGAGCACATCGCGAACCGTATCATTATCGCCAATACGTAGGACAAAAACAGCGTTTATATTCTTTATGGATAGTGAATGTCGACAGGTTGGTTTCAAGGAGATTAAGCTGGTGTTGGGTGTCATACTGTGGCGTATTTGCTAGCGCAATTGTTGGCAAAGCGCACAAGGATTTGACTGATGTCGAATATTCTTATCAACTTACCAAGTTATTGTGAGCTGCACATTCGAGTTAATCCACTCATATTAACTTGACGTTTCGATGTTCAAGCTGATGAGAGCCAATTAGGTCAGATGGACAGGAGGTTGGTAGTATCTCGTCTACGTAGTACAGGCGCAAATAGAAAGCCACAGCCACTGTGGAATGCTATGTGCATGACAAATTTTCATATTTCGTAGTGGTGCTACTATCTTCGGTTCAATTACCTTCAGTTTAACTACCTTCGGTTCTAAAAGGATTGTTTGTTTTACACTAGACGTATCAAAAGCCAGAAGACTCAAGTTGGGCGGATTTACAGAACGTAGGTTCGTGATTTACTCAAGCTACCTCCGAAAGTGCGGGCGGCTATCACGCACGTGTTTCCAGACACGCTGACATCGATAGCCGGGCCTGAAAATAATATGGCAGATAGCTTGCTCCGGTCTGCGTAAACACGCTCCGGATTCAGCGGAACCGACGTATCCATTAGCACGAACGTGCGTTCACGGAGCAAGAGGTAGCAGAAATCAAACACGTCCTTCTTCGCCAACTCCGAATGGTCACTATCGAGGAACCACAAAGAGATAGGGATGTGAGCAACGGTGTTTACCTCCCTCTAGCAACGGAATTTGTGAGGAGACCATCGCCAACCGGCACTGCACAGCTCTCATAAGCATCTCCTGGGTACTAGAATGGCTGCGGACTTTCAAATATCTTGTAAACCATAACGGCAAATAGACAGTCTGTTCTTACACATGGTAAAACTCCAAATCACAAGAGCTACAGGAGGTGTACCAGGGTTTCTAGTTACACGTAAACATTAAGTAATATACTTAACTAGGATGTTCACCAGTCGTTCCGACGGTGCGAAGTAGTATGTATAGGCATCTTTAAACGCAGCTATTTGTTTGGGTGTTTACCCGTCGTTCCGACGGCGCGTAGTTTTTATAAATAGGTATTTCTAACGCAGCGATTGCCATGTGTTAGTGTAATAATAAAGTACTGAACCCATGTTTTTTGACAAGAATCTTAAGTATGTGTCTTATCTAAATATTTCAAACGTGCTCGATACAACAATAAGTATGAAGGTTGATGTGGACCCATCGTTTCCAGAATGTATTGTATAAAAAAGCACGGAACATGGACACTCCGGGTGGACTATATATTCGGTTATGGAAATCAGCTCATAGTATTATCTATGCAAAAGGCAAAATCAGCCAATGCAAAATTAGCCAATAATGTAAAAATAGCCAATCCGAATACCGGAAAAGGAGCACTACGAACGGATGGACACAATTATTTTATTATAGAGAAGAAGATATACCTATGTAAAGTCTATAAGTATCCACAATTTCTTTTGACCTGTCACTTGGGTGTGATACACAAACGTGATCCACCCTCGTGAATGTGATATCCATTGATGGATTCACATGGGAAGGGATGACGCTAATTGAAGCTAGGCATCGCGACGTCTCAGTAGGACGTCATTCGCAAACTTAAATCTATATGTAAGTTCATGCGTCAGAATACGCTTCTAAAGAGTCGCGTATCCGATCTTTATATAACTAGCCAATCAGTAGTTTAGTTTTATATTTAATTATATTTTATTAAATATATTTCAGTCTTGAATTTCTTAAACGCAAAGCACCGTGCACGAGAAGCTGAATAAGCTTTTGCGTGACGTCGGTGACTTCTTGTTCAGAAGGTCGTTGCGCTCTGGCTTAAGCGAGAGGCAACTGGTGGTACGACTGCTTAAGCAGTCGACCAACCACACATCCACCATCTCATTCGAAGGTAAGACGGTCTAAACGCTTCCTCGCTTTTGCTGAAGGTGTGCGCTAAGAAGTACGAGGCAACTTCGTATAAGTGCCCGGCTACACTTGATAGCACTCGTAGTATTTCCCACGACCCGTCTCTCTGAGCGTGCGTGTGGTTGAGATGGTCCTTACTATGGGCCGTAATGATTTTCCTCACCTCTCCTAACATCATAGGGAGGTGGCAGAGCACTTGGTGCAGGGGCTTGGTGAACAATCCCTGGCCAATTTCTTGCATTGTCCTCCTGTGCAACATATTGCTCAGTTGGAGCAATTTGAGGCGTTTCTGCTCGGACAGCGCAGAAACGCGTCCGAGGCAAACAGCCAAGCCACGGATGAGTCCATCAATAAGACTCAAGATGAGCTTAAGCTTGAGCAGGCACGGAATGAGGCGCTCAACAGAACTTTTGAGACGCTCTCTGCCCGGCCTAATCAACCGAGGCCCATTCGGATGGACCCTCCGAAGTTCGATGGAACTAGCCCTCACACGATTGTTCACTGGCTATTAGCAGTTGAGCAATGTGGAGTGGTGCAGCTCATAGAAGACGACACCAGAATGGTGTTGTATGCTCATGTCCAACTTGCGTGGCAAAGCGTCAGAGTGGGCAGACTCTGCGCTGATGGAAAACGCTGATGCGTTTCCATCATGGACAATCTATAAAACAAAGATTCGCGCCATGCATCAGTCGCCTAACAACGAAGTGTTGCTTATGGCGCGCTTCTTTGGAGCACGAGAGGCGAAACGATCTCTGCAAGAATTTGTGCAGGAGATGCGTTCACTGTCGGCGTCCATTAATGCTGGTCCGTACTGAAACGTATCAAGGTGGCCACGTTCATGAATGGACTTAGGCACTGCCCACAGCGTCAGGCCTTTTTTAGATAGGGGCCAGCGACGATGGAAGAGTCAATTGACATTGCCTTAGTTGAGGAGCAATCCTACAACAGCGCCTCGGCGACAGCTTAGTATAAGCCGTCGGCTGAGAAGTCGGATGCCACTCCAATGGAGTTAGGCAATGCAGATGTGATCTGCTACAAGTGCGGCAAGCGAGGCCATATGATGGCTCGCTGCTATGACAAACTTTCTGCTGGTGCTAAGGCAGCCAGCAAGAAGGCTTTCAACTCGATGGGTGGTTCGAAGAATCGTGCACGTCGCACGGGCTCAGATTCGACCCCCGGTAAGTCGGGAAATGCGGGAGCGTAGTAGGGCGGGATGCCCTACTGTCGCGGACTCTGAAGCTATCCCTAAGTTCAGAGTGATTGAACAAATGGGTAGCATAGTCCCTGAGGTTCCAAAAGGTCGGACCTCAACCCTTTTGGTCTATAGCGCTCGAGTAAGAGACTATGACCAATGATGACCCTTCTCGTTGATTTGGGTGCATCGCATAATTTTGTGAAATTCGTGGCTCTGGAAAAGATTCCGGCGAGTTATGAGTCGCTGTGCCAGGATGTCAAGCGAGAAGAGGCGACCGTTCGTTTAGCGAACGGCGCGCTCGTAAAATCAGAGGGAGTTCAAGTTGAACTCACATCCAGCTTTAGTGAATTCTCTTGTAAAGAGAAGTTCACAGTGTTAGGTAGGGAGAGTCCGTATAACCTCATCCTGGCGTGCCTTGGTTGGCTAAACACCTACCATGGATTGACTGGCGTACACGCACTGTCGCTAGCTCTACGCAAGACACTGGAAAGGATGTGCTCCTGCGAGAGGCTTATTTGACTGATGCTGTGTTCAACACAGTCGAGGGTGCGATGACGGTATGTCAATCGACACCAGGAACTACCCAGCTCGAAAGGAGTGGTGTAGTTGGAAGTGCCCTGGCAGAAATCCAGGTGACACATATTCCTACCCAGGTAGAAAAGACTGGTGTAGTGAATGGGGCGATGACAGACAGTCATGCGTCCAATAGTCCTGCACAGAGCCGAGAGCCTGCGGCAGTTGATGGTGGGCTGACAGGAAGTCAAGCGCCACAAGAACCGCCACAGAGCCAAGAGTCTGGTGCGGTTGGAAGGAGTGCGTTAGCTGAGATAACAACGACACCTTCTTCCAGGTCAAAGGTCCTGGTGACTCAATGAACGAGCACCAGACGTATTAAGACGATCAAGGGCACGTCGAAACGAGTGACCCTTGGATCAGTATCGGTCCAAGAGGACGGACCTACGAACGAGTTGTTCGTGGTCGTCGAAGACAAAATGCCGGAGGCATTCTCAGTTGAGGTGCTCCAACTTGTCTTGGCATCTGCCGAGGAGATGGTAAATATCTTGGAGATGACGTGGGATCTGTTTATGCCCGAACTAAAGGAAGGAAAGATCCACGAGATAGTCGCACCAGTTCCAGAAGAGAACGTGGTGGAATGTTGCTCTTCATCCACAATGGATGAGAGTGTCTTGGAGACCGACAAGAAGAAACGGTTCGCTGCTCAAGGCTGGGAAGTCTTGAAGGACAGCCCGTTCTATGATGTTCTGTGGAAACACCGTGATGTGTTTCCAGCAGAAGTGCCGAGCCGCCTACCGACCGATAGGGGCATCAGGCACGAGATTGACCTGGAGCCTGGCGCCAAGTATTGTGTGACCAGGCAATGGCCGTTGCCGAAGGAACAAGTCGATTACATCGATGAGTTCTTCGAAAAGTGAGCTAAGGCGGGACATGTACGTGAGAGCAAGTCGCCTCACTGCAGCCCGACCTTCTGTGTGCGTAAAGCAACAGGTGGATGGCGCGTGGTTCACGCTTATAATAAGCTGAACACGGCCACCATTCCAGCTCAAACGCCGATCCCGCGGAAAGATGTTTTGTTGAATTCCATGGGAAAGTCAACTA